GGGGGGGGGGCGCTCTTTCAGAATATTTGAAATGTGGATTGTGTATTATTTATGGGACTGTCAAGTTGAGGAGTCTGCAGAACACTCACTACTAAAAAGAAAATGTGGTATCTATATTGGATTTAACAGGTGTACTCCCAGCAGAAACCACTAGTAACTAAGCTTTCTCAGCAGTCATTGCACACTGTGATTGAGAGATGGCATCTAGAACTGGCTGTCATATTTCTGTTGAAGCGAACACAAGTTACCTAAAAATGCAAGAGCACTCTCTGTGAGGAGAGGTAAAGGACAGAAGGACAGGGTGGTGGCTGTGGTATGCATTTCTTGGTTTTGTCGGTTGGTTTGGTTTTTTTTGCTCTATCCCCTTCTGTCCCTTGCCCCCTTTTGTTGGGAGTGGTAGGATTGAGGATACATCCTATGGTTGTCAAGTGAGAGAAGTAATGTTGTGATGTGACTTTTGGTTTGTAAGTATGTACAGAAACAAATGGTTTCTTCATTTCTGTTCACTTCTTTGATTTTTAAACAGGTATTTGGAGCAGGGACATTAGATACAAAAGTAATTTGCCTTTAACGGAGATAAACAAGATACTGAAAAACTTGGAAAGCAAGAAGCTAATTAAAGCAGTTAAATCTGTAGCAGTGAGTATTTTGTAACTTTTTTCTAAACAATTTCAAACATTTGCTGCACGCTATGTATGTTTGAACATGGGACGGGGAGCAGAGAAACCTCATTCTTCCTCCGGCTTTCTCACTGACCATGCACCAGGGTTTGACACTCTGCCTTTAGTGTGCAGGTCTGAGGTGCAACAGATATGAGAGGCTATAATGTTTACTAAATAATCAACGTACTACTAACAAGCTGATTAATAGTCTAATTAATAAACACATCACTATTAATATACAGTTCTATCACTCTTCCCACCACTACTAATTACACATCTTTACTATCAAATTGCAGTTTTAGTTCTCTTAATTCTTTATTGCACATGACTTGTTACAGTTCTGTTACCCTTCACAAACGACTTGCACTGCTTGCTACTAACCTGCAGTTCTGTCACCATTTTCTCTGTGCTTCCATACCTGGTCTTCAGGACATAAACCTAGGGAAGAGTCTGGTGTGTTTTCCTCCAGCATTCCAATGGGCTTGGGTCCACTGGCCAGCTTTTCTGCTGTCTACACATCCACACTCCTACTGTCTGCAGATCCTGCCCTCTCTTGATCTCTTATTTTTATATATACTTTTTTGTTTCTTAACTTTTTTTCCTACCACCCTTTTCTCCTTTCTCCACTCAAATAAGCAACCTTCCTGTAGTGACTTTTTATGCATTGGTCTCAGTTTTGCTGTACCACAATGTGGTATTTCTGATGCTGAAGCAATCTCAGCCTCTTATATGGGACTAGTGATGTGGTTACCTAGCTGCAAGTGGCCTTGCAAAGTTCCTCTGCTTTGGAGATCCTGATGCTCCCTTCAGTTGTCCAGTTCATACTGGATTTGTATTGTTTACTTTAAATAATTTCTAAGACATTTGATTCTGTTTTAGTCTTGGTTCCTCTACTCTGTTTCAGTTACTCAAGTACTTTCTTATGTGCAAACAGTCTGCATACCAGAGTAGAGCTTATACTTTTCCATTCTTTTTCTCACACTGCAATGCTCATACAGCATCCTGCTTTACCTTACCTGCTTAATTACAAATCATTGATGTTAGCATGTTCTTTGGACATTCTCCTGGTTTCCAGCAGAGATTCTATATTGTTGCAGGGCCTGGTACACTAGGAAGACCATTTGTTTGTGAACTCTTGGAATTTTTATGTTGTGTGCCTTTTCTATGTGCCAGTCTCATCTGCATCGTGGAGGCAATACCTTGGCATGTGTGTGCGTGTTTTGGGGGGGCAAGGGGAGAGAGAGGTGAGGATAACTTACTAAATAAAAATAACACGGGGATAAAGTTAGACATAGAGAAGCAGTAGCTTTTTCATGTTCTTGTGAGAGATGCTGGCTTCATCTAGTCATAGAGGGGATGTAACACTGCTAAAATTACTTCAGTGAGTAGTTGCTGAGTAGTCATTTGGATGACCGTTGTCCTTTATCTGTCTGACGTGACATTCCCACTCACCTGTCTAGGTGTGGCAGTAAGGAGTGGGCTTGCAAGGGCTAACTTTAGCTATAGGGTTTAATCATGTAAGGGGTCCTCCTATCATCAGTGCATGGGTTGAATCCTGCAAAAACACTTGAAAGCTTCTCCATTAAGTTTGTCTTAGTGTTCTAAAGATGTTTTCTTGCCCTGTTTTAACTGTTAAGGAGGATTAGAGTCAGTAGGCTAAAATCTAATATCTTCTTCAGTGAGGTTTGCATTGTGTGACATTGTTAGTAGAAGTCTCTTTAACACTATGTTATAAAATTATTAGAAATCATTTAGATGATTTTCTTTTTATCTCCATGTTACCTGTGGGTCAAACATGTTAAGGATAGCTCAAGTCAGCTGGATTGCTGTGCCCCAGGTTTTAGGAGTAATGGACTATCTTTTGCAGATACCTTCTTAAATATTCCTTTCTTAAAGAAGACTTTCAGATGTTAAGACCTGTGCACTTTTCTCTAACAGGCATCAAAGAAGAAGGTGTATATGCTATATAACCTGCAGCCTGACCGGTCAGTGACTGGTGGGGCTTGGTACAGTGACCAAGACTTTGAGTCTGAATTTGTGGAGGTGTTAAATCAACAGTGTTTTAAATTTCTACAGAGTAAGGTGAGTGCCACAACTAAAGTCGCCTTCCATTTGTCTTGTGCAAGTAATTATTTTCTTTATAAAACCAATAAGTTTTCCATAAGTGTTGGCTGTTGTTATAACTGGGTCGGCAAATCTGTACTGGCTTGTGTTTGTCACTGCAAGTGTGATGATGTTGCATTTTAATAATGCATATTTTCACACCCTCTACAGGGATTGAAGCCTTCTATCTCCAAGGTCCAGTGATGAGCTAGGCAGAGGACCAAAAAACCCTAGCAAAATTCACTGCTTTTCCTGCAGGGCTCCTAATTTCTTAGAGGATGGAAGGCACTAGTCAGTCAGCTCTGCCTAGAATACGATTTTCTCTAGTATAACTGCAGAAGCCTGCTCTCCATTAAATAAATCCTATGCAGATTGCAGCATTTCTCTATTTCATCAAAATGTATTTTAACTGACACTAGGTACATCAGAAACTTCTTTTGTGTCAAAAAAAACCCCAGATGCTCATATTCCATCATATTAATCTAAATAATTGTGTAAATTTTGTGTCATATTTAGTGTAAAATTATGTTTGGTTGTGCACTGCATTATCTCACATGCATTGGTCTTAAGGACATAGCTGTAAATGCTAAATAAAAAAACATGTCCTAGAAATGGTTTGGAAATCAACTTCTATATTTCAGTCTGCTTCAGATGGAACCACGAAGGAGGCTTTTGGCAGTGAGTACTGACTATAGCTCATCTTTGCTTTTTCTCAGGCAGAAGCAGCTCGAGAGAGCAAACAGAACCCCATGATACAGAGGAACAGCTCATTTGCCTCATCCCATGAGGTGTGGAAATACATCTGTGAACTGGGTATCAGTAAGGTCAGAACAGATTCATTTTACTATTCTCAAAATTCTCAGTGCATGACTAGCTGCAGGAGTTGGGTCCTGCAAATTTGGTGAGGGTCCAATGAGTGCTTCAGTAACTGTAGGGCACTATATTGGAAGTGGGCTCTGCTGCTTTATTGCTTTTTGAGGAGGGTCATTGGTGCTGCGTGGGATTCCGGGAGAGTTTGTACATGTGGGTTTTCAAAATGTATAAAAGAGCTAACATTCACATCCTTGATGATGGAAATTGGAGTAAGTTGTCCTTTAACAATCTCAACTGGTTTTTATTTCATAATTACTCTCAAGTTTGCCCATGCACTTAAAGCAGTTTTAGGGGAGAGAAAAACCCTGCAATTATTGGTCACCATCAACAGGTATATCTTCATCAGTCTTGTCTTTTTTCTTCTTTCGTAATTATTTTCCTGTAAAACTGGAAATGTATCATGCTAGGATGATGTAGACACTTGAGGTTCGTAGGAAAGTTCTTTTTGATAAGTCAAGGCTAGTATAATCCAAAAGTGTTTGGGAGGTAGGAGGTATTGGCATCTGCTTTTCTTTTTGTGTCTGCACAACCCCATAAAGTGCCCAGCGTGAGTGGTGCCTTTATCTGGGCTAGGTTAGAACTCTTAAGGCTTTGTTATTCGTGGTGCTTGCTTATTTCCTCCTTGCAGGACTTACTGGCATGTGTCTTTCCTAATGTTTATTTTACAAATTGCTTCTTAGGTTGAGTTGTCAATGGAAGACATTGAAACCATTTTAAATACACTAATATATGATGGGAAAGTGGAGATGACTATTATTGCTGCAAAGGAAGGGACGGTAGGCAGTGTGGATGGACAGATGAAGTTGTACAGAGCTGTTAGTCCTCTCATACAACCCACTGGATTAGTCAGGACGCCCTGTGGACTCTGCCCTGTAAGTAACCACTTGTGTATATGAATAAGTGGTGGGTGCATGCAGATTTTGAATACAATCCTGCAAACAGCCAGGCATCATGTTGCAAGGTTATGCCAGCGAGTGATCCTCGTGGCTTTCTACTATGCTTACGAGTGTTATCCGTGATGCCTTAGCTGTGGTCTTAAGAGGCAGGTGCTTCAGTTTAGCCCAGGATGTTTACCACTTACATCTTGTCTCTTCACTGGACTGTATGTGAAAGGGTGCTGTCAAAAGTGGTCCATTCCAAATTATATTACTATATTTTCTGATCCCAAGTTTGCCTGTTTATGTTTTTTAACAAGCTAACTTATTTCTGTCTAGCTTTGGCTCTCCTGATTGGATTGTAAACTGGTATGTTGGTGAAACTTGCCAGTGTGCATCATTTACTATAGTGGGGTCTGTTTTGCTTTGTTGTGTTTATATTACTCCTCCTCAGAGCTGGCATTGGAATTCCTAGATGTTGGCCTGTGTTAGACTGCTGCTTTTCTACTGGGGAAGAAGCAGAAAACATATGAGCATGTTACTTCCAGTTGTCTTGCGCTTGCTGTATATAATTACTGATGCAGGGCTTTCTTTTGCAGGTTTTTGATGATTGCCATGAAGGTGGTGAGATTTCTCCATCCAACTGTATTTATATGACAGAGTGGCTGGAGTTTTGAAATGAAAGAAACCTGTAAACTGGATTCATGCTCCATAGCCAAGGTGACAAAGCAGCAACATCAAGACATGGAGTGACTTTGTTTTTAATGAAACATAAAGCAGCAACAACAGCAGTTGCGTGAGCAGCCCCGTGAGTGGACTGGAAATTGAGTCAGCACTGAAGATCAAGGCTGAAATGGAAATGTAAATCCATTCTTGTACCAAAAATTGGTTGTATGACTTGAAAAGTGCCGTAGAGCAGCTGGGTTGTGATGCATCGCTTCCAAGGATTGTGTCGAGTACTCCACAGATGCTCATTCTGAATGAGAGAAAATAACTCATTAGCTGATCAGAAAAACGTGCTAATGAGTGTTGCCAAGAATGCGATTCCGAACTTTGCTTTCAGATTAATGCTACTGGTGGGTGCTTAAGTCCTAAAGCTGACACTTTCCTCCCGCGATAGCTACCATCTAATTGAAGACAGAATCTCATGTGGGAAAGATCTTAATTATGTCAAACAGAACTCACTGATTCTTTATTATCTTTCTTACCTGCTAATTTATCATTAAACCCCTGATTTTTCTTAGGTACATCTGTGCTTCATTTCTTCCATTGCTGCCATTGCCTTGGTGATCCATCTGTTGTATTTATTCCTTCATCTGACAGCTACAAGATAATCATCAAATCTTTGTTGGTGTGTTCTTGCAGCTGCATCATGTACATATATCAGCTGAAATGTTGAGTAGAAGTATTCTGGGAAGATGTGTTTTCCAGAAGAGAGAAAGAGTTCCTCTGGCCTGATGGTAGAGGGAAATTTTTTATAGATTATCTGAATACTGTCAGGGTTAACAAAGATGCCAGTAACACTTGTTTGTACATAAATATGCCCTCTGGCCTTGATTTGTGATCTGAAAAAGGCATGATACTGGTACATCATCAAAAAGTACAGTCTTCCTGTGATGCAGAGCCAATTTGTGTTTCTCTTATTGGGACCTCTCTGGCTCCTCTGCGTGACTCCGGGCTGATCAACTGGCAATAACATATAGCCTGTGGTGTTGTCATGAGCCTTGTGCCCAGGGTATGCCAGGCCATGGACCTCTTGAGAGAGCTGTGTCTAGTTTCCTCTGGCTATCACTGTCCATCTGGCAGTATTAGAGGGGCAATACTGCCTTTGGAAAATACAGGTTTACCTGGGAAGAAAACAGATTTTTGTACCGACTGTGTTATGGTAACTAGTTACCAAGCAACTTCCACAGAGGAAAGAAGTCTGCTTCTTTTTCATAAATGAGACTATTATGTGTATATAGTACAGCCAGCTCTTCCACCATCCAGCGTAACTGAGGGCTGGAATGACGTACTAGCAGGCAGGGTAGCGTAGACACGTGAACTGTGCAGAGACAGTCTGGTCCCAGTTCAATTTGCTGCCTGTGGCTTAATCTTGCTGTGTCCAGCCTGGCGCTCTACACAACTACTCGGTATCTTCATGACAGCCTCCCAGCACTGGGAAACAACTACAGGGTCAAGCACAACATGGGGACCTGTTGCTAGCTATTTTCAAAATACCCTGTCTGAAAATAAGCCCACCTGGACACTTGTGGTGGGAGGGCAATGGTCAAGAACCTCTATGATTGAGTTATCAGCATGCCAGGTAATCTGACCGTGAGTAATAAACAGTGGACTAACATGGAGAGATTTTTTGGAAGACAGTTTACCTAATAAGGGTAGGAGACTTTACATCAGCTATTACAATATTGCCTGGGAGTTTGCACCTTCTAAAAGCAGTCTGGATCACATCTGGAAGTGTTCAAATCTTGCTTGATTCCCATTTACCTACTTATAGCATGGGCTGTGGACAGAAGGCTAAATGTGGTAAGTACTGTACAAAGAATAAAACTTCATGTGGCTCCTGTCCCATACAGGGACGAAGGTTCCTTGTTTGAGAGCAGCTAGGCATGCTGTCTCTGACTGGAGCAAACAACTCGTACTGATAAGCTTGCATGTCCATGGCAGGAGTTTGATTGTATTAGCTAGTGTGAGAACCCACAGCTGGCTTGCTCTTTTGTTGCAGCGATGCCTATCTCTACAGAGGCAGCTCTTGCACAAGAGATGTGGGGGTGAAATGATCATGTTCGTTCCTTCTCTGCCCCATTTAACCACACTGAAGTCTGAGGAAAACACTGCTCACCTCATTGAAGGGAAACTTAACCTCAGCTTCAGTCCTCCCCTATGTGGCCAGATGTAATTTCATTGAGGTGTGGGGCTGGGGTTGTCTTTGTCTTCCTGCATTCAAGACAATGGGGTCCTGATTCCTGCTGCTGCAGAGATAACACCTTATTTGTGCTGTACTGCAGCTAGAAGATAGCTTTCAGGGAAACAACACGTCTTTATCATGCAGGTATGTCACTTTATGCAGTATAACCATATTCACTGGTAATAAGAAAAAGGAGAGCTTGTGAACACCTTTAGGAAGCAGAGAACTGGTTTGTTAAGCTCTTTAAATTCTGGCTCATTTGTATTGTGTTGATCTGATTTAGATGACCTTTGTGGTCACTGAAGCTTCTTAGTGTTGCAGCTGTAACAAGACTTCTCACGTTTGTAAAAAACACGCCTATAGAGCAAAGTAAAGCAATTTAACTTTCCTGTCTGTAAAATAGGAATCTATTTGATCTGTTTCTAAATGAACGAGGAATGATCTTTCTGTTACTCTGGTTCTTCATGAATCTGATCTCTGGCTTAATCTATCAACCTGTAATTCTTTTTAAAAAAGGAAGTAAATGCTGAAAGGTAGTAAATGCTGAAAGGTAACATTAATAGTCGTCTTTTTTTTCCTTCCTGAGTTTCTTCAGTCTTCTACCTGGCAAAGCTGTCCCTTTTACAAACTGGGGTGAAATGTAACTACTAGTTCCAGTACTGCATATGAAAACACTCATGTGTAGAAGGCTGAGAGCTAAAGTTAATCCTCAAAACAAGGATGACCACTTGGAAGCGTGGGCTGGATCCTCTCACTTCTTTATGCACGCTTCATACAAGAGGTCACAGTTCAGCTGCTCAGGACCATGAGGTACCTTCAGAGCCTGAGAGCTCAGCCCTGTTTTCAAGAGCCCTGGGGTGCGCAGAGCCTGCTGTGAACCTACCAGGCTCTTCTGAGTGCTTTACTCACTAGTGGTAACCAACAGTCCAAAGGCGAAGTGGAGGGTGGTCACACCCAAATGCCATTTTCACATGGAATCGAGTGCAAGATTTCTTTTTATTTCCAAGAGAAACATTAACTACTGTACCAGGCTGTATTGTGAACTGAGAGAGAGTACAGCTAGCAGGTACTGTTTGACATGTCTAGCCTTTACAGTCCAAAGTTTAAAACATTAACATTAATGGCAAACTTGAAGCTTTGATAGTGAAAACATTTACCCCGTGGCTGAGTGGCTGTTCGGTTTTTCCTAGTTTTGCTACTTTTGATTGTAGCTTCAGCTCTTGTTGGAGGTGTTGAGCGTGATGGTTGTTCAGCTGGTGCTGTTCGAGTGCCATCTTCTGTCTGGTCCTGGTATGGCTACTCTAGGGCCCAGAGTAAAAGAAAAAGAGAAAGCCCTAAAACCCTGCTCTGGTTTCCTGTTTTGCCTCCACGGGCAGAGCAGTTTTTGGAAAGAAACAACAGCGAGTGGGGACAACTGGGTCTCCTACTGCTGACAAGCATTTCGTGCTTTGAAGCAGAGTATAGACATCTTAAACAGGGCTATCCGCCACCACACACAGACTCTTGCTTCATGTGGCAGGGACCTTTTATCATTTCATCTGTGGGAAATAGGTAGCCAGGCCCTCAGCTGTGCTGAGCCCAGTTTAGCCTGTAGCCTGGGGAGGACAAAAAGGTACTATGAGAAGCTCCACGGGTGGTGTCCAAGTTCTTGTTGAAAACACTAACTTCCTCCCTGAGAAAGATAATTCTTGCACTTCACAACACTCTTCAGGAGATTCTGGACAAGTAGGGAGGAGGAAAGCTGAGCTCAAAGCATTCTCCTCTTTCAGTTGTTAAACACAAAACAAGTTGGGGCTTAGCCTGTGGTTTTTCCCCTCTCTCTTGCTTTTTGAGCAAGGTTGCAATTCTAGAAAAACAGATGAATGGGAAAACTTATATTTCAGTTATTTGGTCTACAAACACAGGGCTTTATGATTTGTTCCTCTTGCAAACTTAAAATAGTTGCTCAGTGTTTTAATTAATGCTAGTAAGAAGGGTCCAACATAGCATTGAAGCCCTGGGTTCCAGTAAGGTGCTGGGCTTTGCTTTTGAGACATGACTACATGAAGATGATGTAAAATGAAGGATAAATTAGCAATTCCAGAAGAGCAGATTTGCTTTGCCTCTTACTGATATTGCTTGGAGAGCAAGTCCTGGGTCTGAGGCCGTTAACAATAGTAGTAATTTGAATTTTATACAGTATAGCATATAAGCACAGAGATCATTATTCTACTTTTTTATTTCTACTGACATGACATTTCTGCTCATGTTCAGATTTTACATAGCAGATTTTACCCCTGCAAAGCACACAACTTGCCTTATGTCAAAAAGCTGGGAAGGCAATACTAATGTTCAGCTCAGCATCTCATTTTGCTTGGTTTTGGTCCTGGAACATTGCTCTCTGGTGTTAGATGCTTCAGTAGAAAATACCCCTTTTCTGCACCTGAGAAGAAGTAATGAATGGCTCTTGGTTAAAGCAGTTTCCTCAAAATAATGCCAGTCTCCCTGTGGAATTCAACATTCTGAAAATGGCACCTATCTGTGTACTTATGCAGTTATGCTCCATATCTGTCAGCCAATTCCTTCCGTCCTTCCCAGGGAAGGGAAGAAGGACTGCTGATGGATCCAAACTCTACAGTAGCCCAGTGGCAGTTTCACTGGATCTTCGACTGTCAGGATCTGTTGAAGTATTTTGAGAGGTACAGAGAACAGAGTTGAAAACCTTGTCCTTCTCTCAATGGTTTGTTTAACTTCTTGCTATTTCTAGTGTAAACAAACTCTTAGCACAGACTGTGAACTGGGAGCAGTCACAGATTTTTACAGGTACTTGAAGGCTGACAAGAGATTGCGTGTTTTTTGTTTTTTTTTTTTTTTTTCATAGCTAAGCATTCCATCATAGACTGTGCAGTAATGTTTAAAGCATATTTATATTCCTAATTGCTTATTATATGTCAAAGCTGGCCACATTTCCTGTGCCTGGTTTTACCAAAACCTTCATATATCTAAGAAGAGTGTAAGATGTGTCACAGGTAGCTCAGAGTAGAAACAAAGATCACCCTGCAGTTGATCACAACAGAGAGCCTCTACAGGCAATCTAAGCTCCACACTTTGACCAGCTTTTATGTTTCTTGTGCTAGTTTATTGGTTGGAGGCAATGCCATCGGTATCAGTAGATGTCCATACCACTGACTGCCTTGTTTTTTTTATATCTGCCATATCAGAGGTGTAGGCAGACACCAAAATGACAACTGTGTGAGTTCTGACATACCTGACAAAAATGAGAGCCCGATGATCAAACCTGCATGGAGGATCACACTGCTGCACAGCATTTCAAACATGTCGCTCCTTTTGTTTTAAGCTGAGTGTTACCAAGCAACTTCAGAATGAACTTTAAGCTTTCCTCTAATCGATGACTTCAAGAAAAACACAAAATATTCAGAACATAGATTTCTGTTGCATTTAAAAGAGGGAAAACAGAAAAACCCCAAATCTTGACAGTGCATGGGTGAGTGAACTTGATCACAGAGCATGAATTTCCTTTAAGCAAAGGTGGAGTGATGATCACACAGAAGCCTGGGCAATATTTATAGGCTGATCACTACATGAATTTAAGACAAGCACCCAAACTATCAGAAGTCAGTCAAGATGTTTTACTACAACAGCTTTGCCCCTAGAAGTATGTGTGAAAGTCTGCAGCGTTCAGCAATGAATTTATGTGCCTACATTAAGACAGGACAAATCCCACTTACATGGTGTTACATGAAGATGCAGCAGAGGATTCACGTCATCAGTATCACTAGGAACAGGCTTTGCCTCTTTGACTTCAGAAGAGACTGTGGGAAGCAATGAAAGAGGGAACACATTTGCTCAGATTCAATGGGCAGACAAGTTTCAGAGGCAAGTCAGATTTGGTACAACCTCTACCCTATGTCCACAAGCAGTGTTGCATTCCTGAATGCTGTGGCCACCCCTGGATCTCTCCTCATCAGAAAGTCTGGGCAACCAGGGTTTTCCCAGCGGACCGAGGTACAGGTTTTCTCACAGAATGATGAGCCACTGTGGTCTCAAGACAGCTGTAAAGGTAAAGCTGGCTCATTCTTCTTTGCTAGGAACAGCAAGGGAAGAAAATCACATTTACCTGGATCAGGCATATTTGAAAGCAAACACCAACAACCAGGTATGTGAATGGTGAGAGATGTGCTGTCAGAGGGTGTGTGTCCTCAGGGCAGACCAAACCAGGCAAAAGTTGTGTGGGTCCTTTTCAGTTCCAGTCATGCCTGCTCCCAGCTCGGCCACCCCAGCTGGCTGGCCCTGCCTCATTGCTGGCCTGGGCAGCGTCACGCCTTGGCATGGCACGCTTCCCAGAGCTAACGTGCTGGGGGAAGCTCACCCTGGCCTGATGAGGGGGCCCACAAACTGAGGCAAAGATGAGGCTGCTGGGGGCTTGAAGTTTTTTTTTTTTAAAAGTGTCTATATTTTCAGTAAATTGTTATTAATAGCCTTTTTTCCGGGAGTTTTTTCACTTACAAAGATAACTCGCCCTGCTGAACACGACAGCACCCTCCAAAGCTGCCGTGACCCCAGAGAGAAGTGCTGTCTCCCACCCCGCAGCTCGCCGGCTGTGCCGGTGCGGGAAGGTATCGCCTTCCCCCCCCCCACATTTGGTAGGGGCACCCGGTTTGTGGCCAGTCCAACTCTGCACCTGGCACCCTTAGTCAAGATGGCCTCCCTGACGCCGCCGCTTCGCCATGTTTGGTAGGGTCACGCCGCTTCCTCTCCTTCAGAACGGCGCGTAGGGTGCCCTTAGCCAAGATGT